CTTCGACACCGTCTCCCACAGCATACTCCTGAAAAAGCTGGCAGCCCACGGCTTGAATAGGGGCACTCCCTGGGTTAAGAACTGGCTGGAGGGCCGGGCCCAGAGAGTGGTGGTGAACGGTGCTGCATCCAGTTGGGTCACTAGTGGTGTCCCCCAGGGATCAGTGTTGGGCCTTGTTCTATTTAATGTCTTTATTGATGATCTGGATGAGGGGATTGAGTGTACCATTAGCGAATTTGTAGTTGACTCCAAGTTGGGGAGGAGTGTTGATCTGCTGGAAGGCAGGAGGGCTCTTCAGAGGGACCTGGACAGGCTGGAGAGATGGTCTGATTCCAGCAGGATGAGGTTCAGCAAGGCCAAGTGCCGAGTCCTGCACTCTGGCCACAAAAAACTCCCAGGTCCCCTTCTGGCTGGCTGCTCTCCAGCCACTCTGTCCCCATTCTGTAGCGCTGTAGGGGGTTGTTGTGACCAAAGTGCAGGACATGGCACTTGGTCTTGTTGAGCCTCATCCCAACTCATTCCAACTGTTGAGAGCTGGAACCAGCCCAACTCTCTAGCCTGTCCAGGTCCCTCTGCAGAGCCCTCCTGCCTTCCAGCTGATCGACACTCCCCCCCACTTAATGTCATCTGCAAATTTGCTAATGGTGGACTCAGTCCCTTCATCTAAATCACTGATAAAGATATTAAACAGAACTGGGCCCAACACTGATCCCTGGGGGACACCACCAGTGACTGGCTGCCAACTGGATGCAGCACCATTCACCACCACTCTCTGGGCCTGACCCGCCAGCCAGTTCTTAACTCAGCACAGAGTGCCCCTGTCCAAGCTGTGAGCTGCCAGCTTTTCCAGGAGTATGCTATGGGAGACCCTGTTGAAGGCTTTGCTGAAATCCAGGTAGACTACATCCACAGCCTTCCCCTCATCTACCAGGTGGGTCACCTGCTCATAAAAAGAAATCTGGTTGATCTGGTAGGACTTGCCTTTCGTAAGCCCAGGCTGTCTGGATCTGATCCCTTGATTTTCCTGTGTGTGCTACATGATCACACTTGATTCCTGCGCAGCCACTTGCTGGCAGAGCATGAGAAGCTGAAAAGTCCTTGACTTAGTGTAAGCACTACTTAGCAACAACGGAAATGTCCATGTGTTATCAACATTATTCTCCTACTTAATCCAAAACACAGCCCTGTACCAGCTACTAGGAAGAAAATTAACTCTATCCCAACCAAAACAGGCTGTAAGATACATCTGCTAAGCGTGATCAGTATCAAGCTGTAGGGATAGGGCAGAATTTGTACTTCCCAAATGCCTCTGCTGATCAATGCCAGAGTGAAAGCTGCAGCAGAAATGGATGAATGAAAGCAGTATTTTAGGGGGTAAAAAGCTGAGGAAGTAGGTACATCATAGTTTGAACAAAGTGCTAGGAAGAAGACAGATATCCAGGAGAGGCAGAGAAGAAGGCAGAGTATAAATCCAGGGCCTCAGCGAAGGACTGTTGAACTGAAGAAAAACTCTGGAGTATATATAAAAGAGGCCTTTAACAGGGACTTCCAGTGACATCTGGAACAATGAATGGCTGAACTAAATAGAGATAAAAATCTCTAGAAAAAAAGTATGCATCCTTCCCTCTGTAAAAGCCCTCTTGGAAACCTGTGCTGAACTGTTGTTCTATCCCTCCTATAATAGAACAGGGAAGTTTTCACTGGGAAAGGGCAAGGTTCTATTTCAGGATCATATTTCCCAAAAAAAATGAGAGTGAAATATAACTGTGGATTTAATTTTATTGCCTTATGCAAGAAGTCAGACATATGCTCATGATTATTTTAATTGTAAAGGGATGGCTGCCTCTCTTGTGTTGAGGAGAAAGGAAATTCCTCTTTCTCCTTATTGTTTGAAAGTCTGGGTTCATGTCAGTAAAGGTCCACAGCACTTCGAAAAATTAGATCATACATACTGTGATGGGCATCTGGCTTGTCCACCAGTTTCTAGAAGAGCTGGAGTGACAGCTCTGGTTGAAGACGGCACTCATGCTCCCAAGAAGCCTGTTCCAGGGACTTTAGCTGCCACTGCGAAAGGCTCACAGCTTAGATCTGGCTTCTCCTGGAGATCAGTCTTAAGCTTGAAACTGTCAGAGCATGGTACAGGGATCATATCTGAAGGAAAACATCTTCCTAGTTAGGGAAAACTGTCACGCCTTCATTTGTCATATTTTTAAGATAATTCTAGCTGTCTGCTGTAGAGGTGTGCGCTGGATAAGTGCAGTATCTATGCACATAGAGAACTTGCTGCTGACAGCTCAAGTCAAACCATTTTTACTGTCTTTGATAATACCTGTGAGGAGCTATGGATACTATAGTAATTGGTACTTTAGGTGTACCCATCAAAGAAGAAAAACAAATTACAGGATGATAAGGGTGAACAATACTTTCTTGGTGACTTTCAAAATAATGTGCAGTTTGTCCCATGCAATATTTCAGTGGGCATCAGGACCCAGAACCCTCCAAGATTTCCTGAGCTTTTGTTCAGTCTGTAGCCTTGCTTTGAGCCACAAAGGTGGTCAAATTCTATTATTATTACTGAAGGTCCCTGATGTATACAGGCTCACTGGAAACTGAAACTCACAGAGAAACTTAGAGATGCAAAACTTTGCAAAACTAACACGTGGAAAATGCCTGCTTGTCGTTTCCACTGAGCTTGAGAGTGGGTTTGCCTCTCAAATACAGTGCCATATACAAGACCATGTTGCCCCATTCCTTTCCAATATTCTGTCTCTACTTCCTATATAGCCTTGGGGAAGATGCTGATTATCTCTATGCCTTTAGTTTCCTAAAATGTAAATTAAAATAATGGTTACCCACACTGTGATGAGGTCCTGACTCTTCATCCATTAATGTTTTCAAACTACTTTGGGAACCTGCGTAGAATGGCACTGTCGTTGTTTATATGCAGGTGAAAGAGCATGTTTTAGCTAAGATGGGAGGTGTAGGCGGAATAAGGTCAGATGCAGAAGAAATGACTCAGGCCTTTAGAATTGAAAAGTCATTTGTCTATCTGAGGACCTGATGTCGACTGATGAGTGCTTTGCCATGGTCCTTATACAAACCATCTATCTGATAAACAAGATTTATTGACCCACTCCCAATAGGCTGGAGCACTCAGAAGCCCATGATGCCATCAAGGCATCGGTGTGTCACAGGCAGGTGGCTGGATTTCATGGGTTTGTGCTGAGTTACAGTCATGTTGTCCGTCACAGCATTTGAATCCTGCCCACCAAAGAGCAGATGTAAGCAATGCAGGGATCTAACACAGAACAGCTTGGGTGGCTTCAGAGTGACTGTGTGCTTCTGATGCGAAATGGTAGTATCAGGGCAGAGCAGGTGTGAGTCATCTCCCAGGAGAGGCAGGCAGAGAAAGGGAGATAGGGAGGGGAGGAGGAAAGCAAGAAACAGATTAGCTCATACAGATATATTCCCCCTGCCTGGCTTCCCCTCCCTTTGTGCATCCCCCTCTCCCTCCACAACACACATACATAGGCACGGAGACTTGACTGTTACGGCTCGATTCCAAAGGCCTGTCAGACAGATCATTTGCTGCTTTGTTTTCTTCCCTTGCCCATTTCTGCCCCAAATTCAAGATCATTTAATATGTGGCTAGATAAAACTTGACCGGTTCTTCAATAAACATTTACTTTCTCCTGTGCATTAGTCCAGTTCAATAATTCCTGTAGTGGGATGAGGATCTAGACAGCATTGGCTGCAGAATGATTGCTGTATTTCTTGTAGGATCATCTTTCACCACATCCCTAGTGTGTGCCAAGTGCCTCGGTCTAATGACTTAAATATGCAAGGCCATGATCAGGGCAGGAGGTGCTTCAAGTTTGTTAGCTGGGTAAGGCAGATGAGCAGTACAGGAGGTGAATGAGTAGCAGAGAATCTATGTGTTATCAACACAGAGGAAAGGACACCCCAATGCAAAACAACTCGTATTGCAAATGTTCCTTGTCACCGTTAATCCCACGAAGAGCTAGATGTGCTCTCTCTGGCAGGCAGTGAAACACATGAAAACACACAAATGAAAGCACTGCCCCACTCGCCAGCCCTACAAGTTGTTCTGAGGCTGTAGCACCAGTATTTAGGACAGTGGAGGAAATAATCTCTCCAGAAAAGGAATGGTACTCGAAATGTTTGTTAGATTAAAAGCTAAAACAGCAGAAGAGTTCCTGGGAGGAACAGATTAATAACAAACAAGACAGCCTCAGATCCCCATGGATTCACTGCTCTACAAATGACCTCACCCCTGTGCAGTGTGCCAAATTCTGCCAGATTGTTACCAAATACAGAATCAGTGATCTTAAACTGCATTTAGAGATGACGATTGTGCACCTAGAGTAACAATGGGGAAAAGAAGTTGGGTGACTCTCTCATTCAAGTCCCAAAGGCCCAGGGAAGGGAGATGAGTTCTTCTTTTAATTATGAGGACACATGCAAGGTGTTCTGTTAAAGACAATAATGGGAAAGTGCCTAACAGTAAAGACAGGGGCACTACAGAGTAACCAATAGCACAGAGTATGAATGAATATACAGAAGAGGTCCAACTCTAAACACACTGGAAAGCCATGGTCAGGGAAGATGCTTGTGTTAATGTATATACCTATAACAAATACCAAAGGCTTTTCTTCTGCTATATCTTGACAACATTTTTCTCATCTGTAACACAAGTAGAAGATTTTATATTTAAGTGTGGGTTTGTGTGTATGTATGGCAGGAAGTAAGAGTTAATAAGTCAAATGAAAAAGCCTGGGGAAATATGACCATTCTCTGCTGAGAGCACCCCTTTTTTTCTGCAAGCATTGAATGCACTCCTTTCACACTATCTGAAATTATGGGTTGAACTAATTAAGACAAAAATAAAGAGAATCAAATCACTGAGAAAGTCTTGTAATGCCAAAGGTTTAGTGTTCCATAACAGACTGGGATGACTCATCTGCAAAGCACTCTGAAATCCTCCTGCATGTTGACACAACTCCATTGTCCTGCTGTTCAGTGTCTGTGTTCCAGTTGTCACAGAAAATGAAAGGACAATACTCACTGTTATGTTGCAGCTGTATATTGTGACTGATTCATAGTTTCCCTTTTGGGAAGGAATACAAACTGGTCTTGCAGGTTCTCAGGCGTTTGCAAGACACATATGCAATTCTGACATATCTGAAGATGGTGAATACTAGACCCCACTTGCTACTAATAAACCATCATTAGTGAATAGCTGATATAAGCTGTTATAGAATTGGTATGAATGTTTCAAGGTGTAAGTGAGGTGAGATTTTTAGGCTGGGAAGCCTCTTTTATTAGATGAACTGACATGTTTGGAGGGAAAAACCCCACAACAGAAAAGCCTTTGGGAATCCAAGACCTTCTCCAGGCTGAATGCTTTCCAGCAGAACCTGAAAAAACAGTGTTGTCGCCAAACGAAAATTCTGTTTTTATAACAAGTTTGCATTTGTTGTACCAAAAAAAAAAAAAAAAGAGCTTGTGTGGTTTTTCATTTCACTGAAGCCCTAATATTTCAAAACAAACATGACACCTGTCTGTCTGTCTTTCAACTGATATTTTTTGTGGAGAAAGCAATCCTTTCTAAATGAACTCCAGTCTGGCATAACATTGGAGAGCATGAGCCCTCTCTCTCATTTACATAAATATGTCTTTTATTAACTGTCAGTACAAAAACAATTTATCATGTAAGACATAAGCATCTGATAAGTAAACAAGTTGGATCCTTCACTGGCATAACTCAGCAGATCCACATGAGTTCAGTGGGTCAGCATCAGTTTACATCATCTTGAGGTCTAACCCAGAGACGTGTAGGAGAACAGGCCAAATCCTAACCAATTCTCCATTTCATTTTCCCCAGTTTTAGATGTCAAACAGCAGAAAGTAAGGGAGAGTGAGCCCATATACAGAGCTAATGTGTATGGGTCTGTGCATTTAGACAAACTCTTTTATTAAGCCACTAATAAACATGGATACAAATAAAAGGCACCTGGGGTGAATGACAGACAACTATAGATGCTGCTCCTCTGACTTCCTCTGTTATTGTTCGTCTCTGCTCGGGTGGCAGCCACATGGTTGCCTTTCAATAATTCAGGATCTGTTTTGCACGCATGGCCAGTCCTGCTTGTCGCATTTTTTCACCTGATCACAAGTCCATTTCTCTGTAAATAAAGCAAGACTTGTATGGAGTTGCAATATCTTTTATTAGGCTGTCTGATACTGAAGGAGGGGGAAGGGAGGACAGTAGGAAGAGTTTGTGTGCCTGAAAGCTTTATAATTTTCTTAATTGTATCAACTACTCTAACAATATATATTACCTTCCCCAACGGCTCGTTTTCCTGATTTCCTTAGATTGTCGTGACTATCTTTTCTGCTATTTCACTGATGCTATGTTAAATTTGTGTGAACTAAGAGCTGCATTCCTACTAAGTGCACACCTCCACTGACATATATGTGCCATTTTAATTACCTCTCATGGATACCACAGTTCATAAAGATATGGGAACAAACAAGATTTATTAACGTTTGATTAAGGATTATTTAGATAATTGCCTGTCACTTCAGGATTTGAACCCTTGATCTGACCATTTATACATGAAGACATTAGCAGTAGAACTGTTAAAAAGTAGAGATCGGTAACAAAAATGAACTGAACAGTAAAATAACTCAGTCTGAGTCTCAAGCACGTTTTCCTAGTGTAATATGGAATACACCACTAATGGCCACTGTTCTTTGCAGTCTGACGTAGGAGAGCTTGCATTAGAAAGCTCAGTAGCTGCATCACTTTTAATCCCTTCAGAAACATTTTTGCTTGAAAAATATCCTTTGCTTCCTCATATGCCACTCTTTAAATGAGAGTTTCAACGAGTTCACCATCAGCAATGTCAAGGTATTATCTTTGCAAACGTGGCTGTAGAAGTATCATGGTATTTAATTAATGCATATAGAATGTTCTGAAGAGTGATCTGAACTGCAGTGTCACACATATGTATAGGTACAAGCTACTACAGATCTTTTGGGCAGCATAATCCCCTTTGGGGAGTTGTAGACTGCTGTGTAGAAGGGATAGAAAAGAGCCAAAACAAAAATTAAGGATGTTGTAAATATCAATCACCTGTGTTTAACAAGGCAAAGGTCTCTTTCTTATGTCTGTCACTTCCATCTTTTCTTCTCCTTTTCTTCTTCTCACCTGGCCTAAGTGGCATACAGAAAGGAGTGTTCCTTCCCTTTCCTCTGAGCACCTTTTTCTCAGTCCTAAGCACTCTCAAAACAAGAGACTGTCCCCACAGAGATCAGTCCTGAGAGTTTAAGCTAATCATGTATTTCAAAATAACAAGGTTTGAGTTCATTTCACTTGCCATTAGGGTGCAATAGCTTTGTGTTTCCAGGCTTTTATCTGCAACCATGAAGGATGGATGCTTTATCAATTTTTTAAAATGTTTCTAAAGAAAGCTGAGGATCTCCTTTAATATCTCAGTGGTTTAAGCAGTGTGAGGCAGCAGAGACAACTCTGATTTCTGGGGTCTTGACTCCCTCTCCTTGCTTTACTTGTTACACTGATGTTCAGCAGAAGTTAAGATGCCAGTAACAATTTATGTGTCTCTCCCATTAGCAACTCTGAGAAATCTCTTGGATTGTCCTTTAGGTTTGTTAAGGTTTATTGTTTTGTTCCAATCCCATCTCTTATTATGTACGAATATTTATACATAGATTTAATATATTTTGCTCTCCTTTCTTTCCTCGGGTTATATTTTTTTACTTGGTGCTTTCCATTTTGATTGAGGTGGTGACTAGATGGGCCTCATCTTCCTCTTGGTTCAAAGAACAATTCATTATTTGCTCATGTCTGGGAAATGAATGCCTCTGTATGATATGTTGGGAGACAGGGATAAACATCCCTTCTGGCTGATTGATAGTCTTATTAAAGATTGCAGTAGGTGAAATAATCCCCCGTAGCTTCATAGGGGTAAGATCCCTTTCTCTTTTCCCCTCAGACTGGCTTTAGGGCATGCTTGGGACTTGGCTTATGCTCTGTCCAATCTTAGAGCATTACTTAATTAGCCTTTATTGAAAGCCATTAGCATTGATCAATGGTGGTACACACTTTTTTTACCGAGGAAGATGACCACAGTGTTTATCCACTAAAAACTTGCAAATTTGATAATTTGCTGCTATTCTTGCTGTCTTTTTATAATAAATTTAATCGATGTGCAAAGATTTTGATCTCTTAGTTGTCATCTGCAATATGTGGGAGGAGGAAGAAACAGAAGTGATACCATGATTCCTTGGTTATGTATTCCTTGCTTGAGTTTTCCACTTTGCTTCCATATTGATCTTCTCTTAAGGGGCTTCTTTGCACATTTTCCCATCCTGTGGTCCATCACTGGTTGCACCCTTGACACTGTCAATGCATTCAGCCTTGTCCTCTTCCTCCTACTGCCCTCTTGCCTTCTTCCACTGTACCCTGTCTGCAGGAGACAACCATCTGGACTCTGTCTCTCTCATACCATAAATCCCTTCTTGTTCATTTTTTCCAGGAACATTTATCATCCAGTCCCCCCATCGACTGAATGTCCTTTTTAAATTAATAATTAGAGAACAAACAAAATGTGTACATAGCCTGCAATGTGTTCAGCTATTGTAGCTTTCTGATCCAAAGCATGTGAAAATCAATGTGGACCCCTCCCTTGATGCTACAATCCTTATCCTTCCTATAAAATGAACTTTTTTTTTTTGCTTGTAATGCACTGCTGCAATCCATATAATAAATTAGATTATAATCCCCTCATGGGCAAGGACCTGTCTTTTTGATATGCCTGTGCATTGTTGATGTCATAGTACATATGCATCTTTGCACATTCTCACCTCCTGCCTATATCCAGTGCACCAGGATATAAGAATGAAATGAGAATAAAAGTGGACAATATTTTTCTAATTATTAGCATGCAGATAAGCCCCTTTAATTAAGGAAATTATATACCCTGTTAAAAAAAGAAAGCTTCTCTGTTAGACTGCAGTCTTGTAATGGCTTTGTGTTTGTGCAATTAGGACCAAATCTTGAAGCCACCGAAGCCAATAGTGGCCCTTAATGGGATTAATTCTTCATTTGTGGGGTGATGGGCTAGATGATCTAAGAGGCCTTTTGCGTCTTGTGCTTCTCCAATCTCTCTCAGGGTAGATGACACATAATGGAGAAGACAGCTGTTTTTGAATAAACTGCATTAAGTGTCCGCATATATTTCCTAATGCAGGTTAAAAAAACCCCACCCCTGTCTCTCTGCTAGTGTGCGTGGCCCTCTTACAGAGCAGGTCCCTCCTGTGCTGCAGACAGTGTATGAGCTCGTCAATACCCTGCAGGTTTCTCGGGGGTATGTATCTCTGTATTTCCCGAGATCCTCTGGGAAAACTCCGCAGCTAACGCTAATCAAATTGAACCACTGTCAAGACTTCCTGCGAAGCTTCGAGGAAACATTTCTGAATATTAGAGGTACAGGAGAGGAGAGTTAAAGTTGGGGGAGGGAGGCAGGACAGTTTTAGAGCTTAAGTGGATTACATAGCTTCATAACCCAGTTATGGGTCCGTGGACTCGAGTGAGCTGTTTTTTCCCCTCCTCTGGCTGTCTGCCTGTCAGATAGTTCCCCTGACAGGCAGGCTTTATTAACCTCCCCCAGCTGGCTCTCTCAGCATTTCTTATTTTCCAGTGCTTGCATCCCCTAGCAGCTCATCTCAGCCCTTCTCATATCTCTAAGCTCCCCAGGGTCCTTCCTTTAGCTGCACCAGCTGTCAGCACCCGTTGAAGTCTCCTCACTAGCCCACTCTACCTGCATTTACCAAACCCACTGACTGGTCTCTGATCTCTACCAATGCAAGCCCCAGGGAGCCAGCAAAGTGTGGATGGTTTAGCTCAGACCACGGGACCTACCTTTCAAAGGTAAACTGACTTGCTTCTATTTTAAATAGCTAAGAGGGCTAGCTTAAAAACAGATGAGCGCTTGAGCATCAGTGTTTGCTGGTATGAAGGAGCAGCAAGTGCCTAGTGCATCTGGGTACTCTAATACTTCCACACTCAGCAAAAAAGTTGTGTGATCATGAGTTAATTGTGAGTCTGGTTGTTGAGCCTGAGCCCTGAAATGTCACCTCAAGACTGAGGTGTGAGCCTGACATCTGCTGGGGACAGCACCCTTCTACAGAAAATGCCAGGCCATCCTTCCTCAGGGATGCTCTCCCAGGAGGGATGGTGGCAGGGAAGCTACTGCCTGAGGCACTCTGAATGGAATACATCCAGCCTGGAGGAGGCAACATAAACAAAGGACAGGGTGACCCAACCACAGCCTGATATGAGGTAAAGGCTGAAAACCCAATTTACACTGGAGGGCTTCAGTCTCCCAGGAGTGAGACAGAACTAAGACAGCAGCCAGACAGCCAACGAGTACACCCAGGGTTTACAACATCTGCATGGGTGTCCATGGCCACATGAGAGACAGAACTCTGTGTCTGCACTGACATCAAGCTGAAATCTGCTTTCCCTCTTTCCTTTTGAAGCATCCACCACTGTCACGATGATGTTTTTCCTTTGTTGACATAGTTGGTGGCTTGCCTGAGTCTTATTCAGCCCTCTGGGCTTGACAGCCAGAAATGCTGCAGATAGACTCCAAAAGTCACTGCTTGGCATCCGCCATGCATGCGTCTCTGTGTCTCCTCTCTGTCCTCAGCCACAGCCTCCTTCTCTTCCCTCCCCTCCCTGCCACTATGACATATCTGTATGGAACTTTAGTCCAGTCGTACAGGAAAGGATGGTATCCAGGGCTGACTGTAAGAAAGTCATGTATGAGTGGCTCAAGGACATAAGGAGTAATGGAGAGTAGAAGAAAGTGCCCCTTGGTCTGATTAAACACTGATCTGATGCCTTAAAACTGTGCTGCTATATTGGCTCTGGCTTGAGTGCCGTAAAGGAGGGTGGTGGTGGCTAGGCAGCATCCCTGGACATCTCTTTGTCAGTGAGGGCATCAGGTCTTCTGCTCTGACCAGATGCAGACAACCAGCCAGGGCCCAGTGCTACCCCGTGGTACTGCACAGGTTGCCGCTAGTGGAAGGTGTCCCTGCCTGTGGCAGGGAGGCTGGAACTACATGATCCTTAAAGTCCTTTCCAACCTAAACTATTCTATGATTCTATGATGAGGGGCTGTGCTGCTTCTGGATTTGCATACAGCTCACCCAGTACCAGTATAGGCACTCTGGGTCATGATCTAGTGGGTATATTAAAAGGAGGGGTACCAGGTAGTGTGTAGACAATATGTTAGCTTGGAGGTTTATTGATAGCAGGGCTATCAGCAGCACCTTTGGGCTCTCTGCCAACACCTAAATAATCGGAAGTGTTACTTTCTCCTAAAAGTAAACCTGGCCTTTGTGCTGTTTAGTCACAGTATTGTATTTTTTGCTGACAGACATGAGCAGATAAAACATATATTTTAAACCCTTGAGGAGAAAAAAGAAGTTGGCAGTTCTCATGGCTTTATCAGGGTTCTTATGACAGTGTGTGTTGCTTTTTTTTCCACAAATATTCATATTCAAGAGGAATATGACTAGTTGAGGACCTCAGAGGTTTCATTAGTATTTTTAGAGTGAGGTTTCAGAGCTTTAGATATGGAGGAACACTAAGGACATGATGCCAGTTTAACCTAATGATTCAGAAACTATAAAGCAAATAATAATAAGCTAACACATCTATTTTTAAACTCATGATTTAAGCCACTGTCATGATTTTGATAGGGCCTGACATGATTTTCCAGCATTGGGACTGGTAATAAAGCTTTTGTGTACTAATTTGAATGGAAAATCCTTTGAAAATCCTCCAGCTTGCTTGCCTTAGTCAATACTTAACAAGGACTCAGCCACAGCAGTGAAAAATATCCACCAGTCAGGACTTTTTTTTTGACTCTGTCTTTCTCTTCCCTCATAGAAAAAAAATCTGACACCTAATAGTCATGATTCATTGTAGTCCTAGAGTCCAGTCTGAGAAACCTGTGTGCAAAGATCCCTGTACATGGGAATCCTAGAGCTCACAACAGCCTCCCTGGAGTCCAAACACAGGGCAGGAGCATCCCTGTGTCAAAGGAGTTTTCCATAGGGCTGAGCATCAACTAAAGAGAGAAGAGGACAGACCTGAGTCGGGTCTACACAGCTGGCTAGGGCTTGTACTACAGTTATTCCACGTCCCTATAAAGTTGTCCTTTGACTGGGCAGGAGCTGAAGGTAAGATGAGCTTCAGAGATGCAGAGAGGGCCAAGCCATGGCACCAAGCCTCAGTGCAGCTCCTTCAGTCCCTGTGTGGGCACATGAGATTGCTTGTCTAGTGGCTGTGTCCGTGGAGGAGTGGGAGAATGCCAGCTGCTCCCTGTGGTATTTAATTTCTTCTCAGGAACTGAGCAAGGAAAACGTACATGGGATGAACCAGCTGGAAGTAGGAGATGAAGTGCCATGCCTGCTGTCCCAGCCCACTGTGCCCTTGCACTCTGGATCCAGATACCAAACCTGGTGAGAGACAACTGCTTTTTTATACCCCAAGACACAATCCAATGTTTTCCAACTCATCAAAAGGGCCTGAGATCAACTGAAAGAGCAGTAGGCACTGAGTAAGGCAGTACTATTTTGAGGCACTTAGCTTTCTGGCCAGCGGGTATGCTGTTATTCCTCTAATACAAGACAACAAACACATGGGGAATACATATGAAAAAACAGGTGACTCATAAGTGAGAATAGCCTCATTCTGTCATTAGAGGACGGTAATTTGCCACATATTTGTATCAATATTAAAAACATCTGCACAAAGCATCACTGCCCCGTCACACACTCTGGGCTGCACATGTGGCCACAGCTGCCTGCAGCAGGGGAGCAGGAGAGGGTCCACAGTCAGTCACTGTTTGATCCCAATTTCTTCTTTTTGTCTGAAGAGAGAAAAAGGGTGAATCCTACTGCTTGGCCTTAAATCTGTCACCTGCTGCTTGGCCTTAAATCTATCATGAAGTAATTTGAGACTTTGAGTAGAGCTTGGTCTTTTCTTCCTCATATTAAAATGGAAGAAGATGGTGTTTTATAGGTCTGTTACATCAGCAAGTATGCTGATCTTTAAAGAATGATGTGAATAGCCTTTTGTGCTACTACTGGACACAGAACTGTCAGTAGAAAGATTACCCGAAATGAAATCTCAGACAAAAAGTGAATTGTGAATGGCCTTGATCAACTAAATAGGTGTGTTCACTCTGAGGACTAATGATAACACAGGTAACTGTTTGTATTGGGTTTGCGTGGCAAAGCTTTGATAGTGGAGGGCTACAGTCATGGTTTCTGTGAGAAGATGCTAGAAGCTTCCCCTATGTCCAATAGAACCCATGCCAGCAGCACCAAGATGGACCTGCCACCAATCAAAGCTGAGCTCATCACTGATAGCAGTAGTTCCTCTGGGATAACATATTCAAGAGTGGGGAAAAAACTGCTGTGCAACAGCATCCAGGAAAGACAAGTGAGAATATATGTGAGAGAAACAAGTCTGCAGACACCCAGGTCAGTAAATGAGAGGGAAAAGAAGGTGCTTCAGGTGCTGGAACAGAGATTTCCCTGCAGCCCATGGCCATCCCGGGCGGACCAAATATTCACCTGCAGCCCATGGAGGACTCCACAGTGGAGCAGGTGGATGCCCAAAGGACATTGTGACCCCATGGGAAACCCATGCTGGGGCAGGCTCCTGGCAGAACCTGAGGCATCATGGAGACAGGAGCCAATGCTGGAACAGGTTTGCTGGCAGGACTTGTGAACCTGTGGGGGACCCAAAGCAGAGCAGGCTGTTCCTGAGGGACTGCACTCCCTGAAAGGGACCCATGCTGAAGCAGTTTGTGAAGAACTTCGACCTGTGGGAAGGACTCATGCTGGAGAAGTTCATGAAGGACTGTCTCCCATGGGAGAGACCTCACAGTAGGAGGCTGAATGTGTCAGGAGTCCTCCCCCTGAGGAGGAAAGAGCAGCAGAGATAATGTGTGATGAACTGACTGCAACCCCCATTCCCGTCCCCCTGCACCACTGTAGAGAGAACAAAGAGAAAAATCTCATCATCATAAGGCTTTTCATTTTCTTGGTTTTTTGAGGCAGAGTTTTTGGTGTGGGCTTTTTAAAAACAAAACTAAAACCAAGTATCTGCACATATGTGGAATGCATCAGCCCTACTGCCAGTGGTGTGCAGGCCATCTATTAATGAAAAAATGAATTAAGTAATGTGAAAAAGCTGGATAGGGAAGGGCTGGAAACTTCTAATCCAAGCCTAGAGCTCTGCCAGCATGGCTATAGAAATAGAAGGGATGGCGCAGTTCCCTGTTCGCTCCCTGGCAGCAGGATGGCACTGCTGCTGGGAGCAAGAACAAGGCATCAGCTTTTCATCAGTACTCTTCTCTATTCCTCCCCATTTTGTAAGAGAAAAACAGATATCTTTTTCAGAAAAAAAAGTTTATTAAAAATCAGAAAATAGAAAGAACCAGGAGCTAAACAACTTTTTGGAGACAGGAGAAGTGGGGGCAAGCTTTACAATGGCATTTCTTTTTCAGAAGTAATCTCCCATTATTTCAGGGAAAAGCAGTTGGCAACTTTCACTCAGCTTGGTTTGGCCCATGGCACAGAAACATGGAGTCAATGGTGTGGAAGATGGGAATCCCCTGGTGCCCTGGCTACCACGACTCCCACCTTGCTTCTTCCTATAGCTTGTTTTGAGGAAAGCAGGCCGTGGTCTTTCAAGGACCTTAAAGATCTGCTTCATATTTATTTCAGGTGCCAACTGTGAGTGCAAATGCTCCCTACTCACCCATTTTCAAAGTCCCAAGTGGAAGAGGAGTCTACCTGTTTGCAGGAGAGTGTTTGTTACTGATCCTTCCAACAAGTGCTCTGATCCACAGCAGCTATGGCTGTGCCAGTGCTCTGTTAATTTAGTTACCACAGCATGAATATATCTCAAAAGATACCTCACTCAAATTGCAACAGCTCCAGGCAAGAGGGCTGCCAGCAGGGAGCTGCCTTACCACTCAGCTTGAAAGAACTCAAAGGTAAAGGCAGGTTCAGTAGTGACAAACAGGGAGCAACAAGCATGTCATTCTGCCTCCTGTTTCCTGAAACATAATGTTTTCAGAAAAAAAAAAAAAAAAGAAAGAAAGAAAAAAAAAGTGTCCTCCTAGTGGAGCAGGTTTATCTGAGCCTGTCAGGTGTCAGTGGTGTGCCATAGCCGCTGGCAGGGTGATGCACCAAAACTCAGAGAAGTAGGATGATGCAAGGAGGAGTAAGAGGAAGGGGTGAAGAGTAGCAGTGCTCTTTTCTGGTAACAGAAGAGAGAGATCATTGAACCTGCCAGAGCTGTTCAAAAGTGACACAAGGGGTGCCAGGATCACAGATCCTGGTCCTATAAGAAGCAGTGTTCCACATCCTGGGCTGTGTTTGTCCCCCTGGCTCCAAACAGAATGAAAGATGACGTGGCACAGTCCCAGTCATTAGGGGGGTCATTAGACCTGCTGACACGTCTGGCTCCGACACATCTGGATTGGATGGTTTCTGAAGGATGCAGACTTTAAAAGCAGACTTTATCAACAGATGTTGTCCTGAACACAGGCCAGAGGGATGTGGGAACATGCAGGCACTCCTACCAGCCTAATGAATGGGTAGGAGACCCCATACATCTCGGCGGACCTTATCACATAAAACTATGCTTCCTCTGCCTTGTAGGTGATCTATTCCAAAATGGGCATGTTTTCAAACAAGCACTCCTTGGTGTAAAGATGTCATGTGGGGGGGGGATTGTGTTTGTGTGGAGGGTAGGGCAGAGAATGAGCGCTGAGAAAGAAAGGCACGTAGGCAAAGTCCAGGTACTTAGAGGTGCTTAACAGCTTGCGTGAACTAAAACCTGAGATTTTCATATATTTTCTGTCAGAGCTGTGTTGCTGGCATCTCAGACGGTCTTACAGCAGGAGACTGGTGAGAATCACTTTGTCCATAGCTGGGAAAAGAACTACTCATAAATGTCTCAGGGATGCTTTCTTTCCGCACCTGCAGACCAGAGTCTGCGCCCTCTCACCCTGTGTCCCACAGGGAAATATGGTGGTGCTAAAAGCTCTGCGTGCATTTCCAGAGTACCTCTACATGCTGCCTGCATGAGCCTGAACCGCCAGTCTGTGCAGCAGTGACACCCACCTCGCTGTGCAAGATGCAGAGCCATTCTCTGCACATACGCGTGTGTCTGACTGCACGGCACGGCACGCACGGAGGAGGTCTGCTCTGCCACACCATCAATCTGCTGCGCCCCGGCCTCGGCAGCCCTTCTGAATGCAGGACCCAGGGCACCTGCCTTTAAACAGCACTGACACTGTGACCACAAAGACAGCGCCTGCTCCCTCTCCACGGAGGAGGAGAGAGAGAAAGGAGCAATTCCAGGCTCTGCAGTGAGTGTATGACTAGCGCACATATTGGTAATAGCACCATGCCGGGGTCTCGGTGTGATCTTCCTGTTGCTCATTTGCTGGCAAGCGTGAAATGCAAATCCCTCGGGGCTTCTGTCTCCGCTCAATATTCACAGGAGCATGAAGGCTCCTGCGCGGAGGGGAGGGTGAAAGCCGGCAGACAAGAGGGAGCTTTGTCTCCTCCTTTGTCTGGAGTTTACGGGTTAAAAAATCTTATCTGCGAGGCTTTGCAGGGAGGGTCAGCTCAACACCCTGACCCCTGCCTCCGCCTCATCTGGGGGTCTGGCGTGGGGCACGACACCAGCACGTTCGAATTCGAGTGCAGAGGCCGTTGCACCAACGCTGTGGCTCCATCGAACCTGGTGATGGCGGGACGGGGAGCTCGGGCTGTAGGAGGGGTGTACCCCGAAGTGAATGTGGCCCGGGGGGCTCAGAGCAGTAACCCCCGCCCGGGACCTGTAGGGCGATCGTTCCCACCCTGCCCCTTTCCTGTGGTGTGATGGTTCCAGTCCAAACCCAGTCAGCTCTCTGAAAATGGCAAGTGAGACACTTGTTGCCATGGTGATCCTTAATAGTTCTGACTCAGATGTAGCGTTGCTACGGCAACCGCATCCGCAGCCCTTGGGAGGCAATGCCGGCACGATTTTTCTCTCGTAGTGGAAAAGGGCTCCGAAGCCCCATTTTGCTCACTCCTTGCTGCAGTGCAGTGATGAAGCTTTCAGGCTGTTTTGTTATTCTCCTAATGAACGGCAATCCTGATCCTTCACCAGAGGATCTGCTGCTATTCTGCAGGCTAAAAGTGCTCCGGACCGCCTCACCATGGGCACAGTGTCTGCACCGTAAAGCAGCCCCAGTCTCTCCCTTCCCGTGGCTCATCAGAAAAAAAAAAAATTAGTTTTCAAAAGGAGCGGTAACCTTTCTTCCTAGGTATGAAAAGCTCCTTTCATCTTGGAAGCTGAAGATCTGTCTGGGAGGGGGGGTGGGGTGGGGTGTGGTAGTTTTGAGATGAAGAGCGGCAGTGGCTGTGAAAGGCAAGACAAAGGCAGAGCGCATGTGATGGAGTGGGTGTGCCTGTGAGAAAAGGAGCGGATCTGTGTGCAGAGAGTGTGTCCGTGGGCATGGCTACGAATGTGAATGGGAGAGGAACTGCTGGGAGGGGAGACGCGAAGCGGAGCATGGGTGTGTCTGCTCTGAGATGAGAGAGGGGACACTTATAGGGCCACGCTTTTGTTTTCGAGAGCGTGCCTGCACAGGCATGGGGGGGGGGAACAGGTTCAGATCATGCAGATCTGCGTGAAAATGCTCTTGCTCACATTCAGTCCGCTCTTCTGTTATCTGTACAAAGTCAGGCACCAATGCACATAATGTTTGAAAGGCACCTGAGTCTCTAAGGGATGGATAACTGTAGGGTCGGAGTGTGTATGTTAAGTTTGCTCTTGCAAGCCTGTCAGAAAAGATTTCTTCAGCACTAAATAATCCAGCAAAAATCATTTCATAGTATCCTTCTCAGACAGAGGCAAGTAAGAAAGAGGAGGCATGTGAGTTCTACATGTTGGTGTCCCTGGACCTACATCTCAGCCAATCCCTGTCCTGAGGGACCTGGGCGTGGATCCCAAGGTAACTGCTCAGTGCTTTTCCTGAGTCAAATGTCTGACTGTTCAGTCAGGCCAGAGGAGTCACCAGAGAGATGTTTAAAGCTCCCCGGACTTCTCAGGGGTTTAATAAACTTTCTCTGTGGTTTTTCCAGCTTGTCAGAGAATCACACCAGGCTCTCTCCTACCTGACATCCTGGTTCTTCTAGACACCATCTTGCACTGGTAGGGCATGGCTGGATGTCATGGAGCAGGCCTTCAAAGAAACTGGGATGACTGAAGGATGGAAAAAAATTACAAATTCATCATGAAGGTGGGAGATTACTGCAAATAACAGTCCAAGAAGGGTCTGAGAAGGATTTAAGAGTGGCAGATGCAAAGGATAAAGGATCTTGCTAAATAAATCAGTCACATTCTACACTTGGAGTGTCCAGGGTGACTCTTATGTGTCTGGCTTAGGTGACAGAAGGACAGAAGCCTTATTAGCAAGGCTTAGTAACACAAGTAATGGGGAAGATTTTGGCATGGAGCCTGATGAATGTAAACCAACCTTAAAGAGGTGTTGGGGGACAAAGACACAAGAATGAAGATTCTGGGGAGGTCTAGGATGGGGAAAGATATCTCAGAGTTCCTGCAGTGTACAGATGAAGGTCCCCTGCAGGATAAGTTAAAAGGGAAAAATAGGGCTGAATTACGGTATGAGCTATAAGGGCTCCAGCAGAGAAAGGCTATCAGGAAATGAATGAACCTGTGGTATCTGCAAGATTTCAAGGAGAGGAATCTTGGGACTTGGGAAACAGCCAGTGGAGGGTGAAAAGCCAGATAGAGATGCTCCAAGAGCAAGTCTAAGGCTCTTCAGAGGTTAATACGGCTTATCCAAGTAGTTTAGGGATATGGGGAGTTGTGAAGGTAATTGAAGAGACTTACTCAAAAGTAACTTTTAAATATGTACAATGACTTGCTTGGTATGCAGAGAGAAACTCATCCCTAGTGTAAATCTAATGAAATCAGTAGCTTAGTCTGTTAATTCCACATGGTGAAGGCAGAATGAGGGGAAGTGGCCCTTCTTCCCGGCTCCTTAGAAGAAAGTGCCCACAATTGGGAAGGTGCTTGTGAGAGGCTGCAGCTGTGCCTGCACTGGGCCTGTGCAGTCTCACGTGAGCCTTTGCCCCATATGATGCCAGAGCAGGGCTTGTGCCCTGTCACTGCACGCGTACCTGTTCAGAGATGGGACCCTGTGCGGTAGCCTGCCTTCGTCTTGCAGCCATCCCCAAGGACCAAACTGGCTCTGGATTTGATTTCTTCATCCCATTGTGAACTCACAGATCCCTCCTTCCCAGTGCAATGGTGCTGGTTCTAGTAATCATGGTCTGTGTAGCATATTTTGACCATGACACCTGTTGGCATCAAAGTGAGAGGAGAACCACACCAGGGACAGCAAAGCCTATTGGAAGAGTTCTTTGGATCTAAGACTAAATGAAGCATAGGACTAAATATTGCAATGTTTTTATCTCTACTTTTGGCACGATAAGTTACAGAATTTGCTGAATGTGATTTCTTACCTGAGAACTGTAATAAAACAAAAAAATTGGACTGAATTACTGTTTGGTTTGGGGTATTGTTTGGAGTATTGTTTGTTTTGGTCTTTTGTTGGGCTTTTTTTTCTTTGGTTTTTTTTTTGTTTGGTTTGGTTTTGGGTTTTTTTTGTGTGTGTGTGTGTGTGTGTTGGTTTTTTTCCACAGAAAACAAGGGAAACTGGAGAGGACAACCCAAGTAATTTGTTATTTATTTACTCAGACAGTACCTAACCTGCTACTCTCTGCTTTCTTTGCTCACACCTAAAGAAAGTGAAGAAGCCTCTGTAAGGCAGTAAATATTTTCCTTCCTTGTTGGTCTTTGGGACAGCTCAGTCTCTCTCACAGAGCAACAATTTTATTAAACAAGAATTAGTGTAAAGCATGGAAAAAAGAGAGAATTATTGTTAAGCCATTACTCTCAGGAATTCCAGCAATTACCAGGTACATCATAATTATTTCAAACAGAAAATCATGCCTCTGCATGGATAGGGTTTGGGGGCTGGCTGGGAAAGAAGGAAGAATAGGCCAAAGTACTGCAGCTGTCTTCTGTGCTGTTTCTTGACCCTGAAAGAAATAAGTTGTTGTGCAGTTGTGCGGGTTCAGCCAGACCTGAGCTGCAGACCGTCTAGTGGGATTTGAAATCACCAGCTAGGAAAAATGGCTGGTTGAGGCATGGGGTTTGGGGGGCACATGTGTGCTGAGGCAGTGGAAAGCAAGAGGAGGTTGTAGGGCAAGTAGGAATGGAGAAAGGGGTGCAAAGAAGAGAGGATGGTCTTGTGGATGCTAAATAGGGTCTTGGGATGATATCTACTTGTTCTTGTTGAAGAAGATTTTGTTTAACAGAACCCTATTCTTCACAATAAACATCCCTTAGAGCAAATGATAAAAAAAAAAGAACAAAAAGGTAGAAAACTTGATCCCTATTGTTCCACATACATTTGGAATCATACTGTAGTGAGGGGTCAAAGCACAAGAGCCATGAAAATGTTGTTATTTTTTTCTTCCTGTGCTTCTTAAGCAGTGATGTCCATGAGATTAGTGTTTACCTTGATTTAATGTCTCATCAGAAGCATGACTTCCCCGGCAGCCCTGCTGCAGTGCTACTAAATGAAGCATGCCCTGTTTTCTCAGATGGGACTTAAAACTCTGCCCTTAGAGACCTGAGGGATGGGAAAGAAGGATGGGGATAGAGTGATAGATATTGACCCACCTAGCATGTACATTAAAATAAATACCAGGCTTTATTTTTTAACCTATTTAGCGCAGTTACTGTTCTCTGCACAATTGATGTTTGTGTTTGCAGAGGTTACTGGGGTGGCAGCCACCACAGCATGAGCCTCCCTTGCTCTGTACCTTTCCCATGACTTATTCCATGGATGACCTTCATGTGTAAGGACAGACACTGTCTTAAGGAAATAGGAGAGAGAGGGAGAGAGAGAGAGGGAGAGAGAGAGAGAGCATTTTCTCTGCCAGTTAATTGAATCCAGGTCTTCCCTTCAAGTAACACTGGAAAAGCCTTATCGTCTTTTCACAGTGAGGAAACATTTGCTCATGAAGGAGCTGAACAGATGAAACCCTCCAAAGTCCCATTGCTAAAGATGTCAAACTAAATTTGGATCACATCTGCTCTTAAACCAGAACTGACCACAGTCTATGGGAGAACGTCACTGATTTTAGTGCTGCAGTAAGCAGCAATATGGCTCAGTGACTTATCCAACTTGATGACCAATTTTTCAGTGTATCCTACATTTTCCTTTTTCCTCTTCTCTTCAGCATATATGCCCCATACTGAGTCTCTAAGAAATCCCACTCATTAAAAAAAACCTCCTTTGAGGGCCTGTTGTGACAACCCTTTGAACTTCTATACTGGGAGAGCACAATGCACAGGACACAGAATTACAGGCAGTTAAATTGCCTCATTAAGAGAATATTATTAGGTCCTATGTGGTCTTTTCCTATCAAACACTTTTGAATACTTTATCCAAGCCAGTTTTATGTCACAGGATCCCTGCCATTTCCCCTGAGACATTTTCCTTTACTCTCTTCTCTTTGCATCTGTGTCCCCAGAAGGGCTGAATGTGAGGTGTGACGTGGAAAGGGTGCAACATCAGAGTAATTACCTTGCCACAGCACGCCCAAGAAGGACTGTCTGGGGAGGACACTCTTCTTTCTGCACCAGAACATCTAGTGTCTGCATATCCCAGAAAACATCTTTGCCCTTGCAGCCAAAATTGCCATTTTTTTAAATTTTTTTTAAATCCCACAGAGGTGTGTGCCTCTGTTCCCTCCCGAGGTGTTGAGTTTGGTTTAGCACTGAACTACCAGCTAGGAACTGTAGGATCTTCATAATTCCACTCCTTTGTCATTTCTACAGGGATTTACTCCACTGAGATATTTCAGACTGTAAATTTTCTGACCTGATGATTGCACATTTCTATTTCACAGCGTCCCAACCATGTGGACCTTCTAGGTAATGTGTGCTAACACTTTACACATATCCTGACATCTTCTCTCATTTCCTATTAATCTTTGGTCACAGTTCAGAATTGCCCCCGCATCCTGTGTGATGGTTTGCCTTTTAATGTTACCGTAACCTGTAAAGAGCAGCTTACCCCAGACCAGGAATCTGTGTGTACTTGTGTGCTTCTGACTGCTTTCTAATTAGGAAGACCTTAATTTACAACCTCCCATGTTCCCTGCAGTGTTCCCTGCAATACTGTTTATCGTTTGTCTGCCAGGATCTGTGCTGGCTTGCCCTCACCAAGGGAGCTGCCTTCCGTGCTGGTAGGAAAGGTGCCTCAGCTGCTGATACTGGGGTGGGAGATGGAGGATGTTTTACACATGAGGTTACATGGGGTTTTCTTTTCCCCCTGTTTCTTACAGGACATTGAAGTGGTACTGCCTGGGTTCATCTCTGCTGCTTCCCTCCAGGTAAAGAGCCATGGTAGATGCCTGGTCAGCTCGAAAAATGGTGCTTTTGTGCTGTATGCTGAAACACACACAGTAACTGATGGCCAGGATAAGAATCAGAGGCTCAGCCAGGGTAAATTGCCATGGCTTCAGTGAAGTCAGTAAAGCTAATCCATTTTCTTCCAGCTGAAATTCGGGGAGCATGGATTAACTCTACTGTCTGGAATCATCCTTGATTACAAATCCAGGCATCATGAAGGATGTGGCTCCACTGACCTCCTTGTTCTGCAACACCTCGAGCTTGTCCTCCTCACGGTGGGGCTCAGTGGCTCCTGTCCCCTGCCTTCCTGCAGTGCATAGGAGAACAACCTGGCTGCTCATTCACAACGGGGATGAGGAATGCAAAGGGAAAGAACCCGCTGTTTGTGTGCCGAGATGCATGCCAAGGCAGCCTGGGAGACTCTCTGATTGATGTGACAGGGAGGGAGTGACAAGCCTGCTGATGCACTAACAGCATTCTACTCCAGCAGTTCTTGCCAAAAAAATAAAACACCTGTGACAAAAACTAAAGCAGCTCATTTGCTCAGGGCATAGATGCACAGGACCTGAGAGCAGCCACCTGATGTGAGTTATGAAGCCTTGCCTTTCTCCGGGAAGATGAGTGTGATAACACTTGACAGGTCAGGCTCAGGATGCTCTGCACTCTGGTGTAATACAGCATTGGCTTGGCCTGTCTCAGAAGGGCTACCACCCTGTGACTTATAATTCAGTCTTA